TGCTGAGAGATTAAGAAAGTCCCTTGACATTACATAAACTCTAACGTTGGTCAAAAAGGTTCAATTCACATTCTGTCATACTACATCAGTCAGAAACAACTGTAGTTACCAGCACAGTGGGCCATAAACTGTTTAGGGACAACAATTACACACAAACCAGTATAAGTGACCAGAAACTATAACATACCATTTCTGTAACAGAAAAGAAATTCACTGCACATAAACCACTTTCAAAATGGCCAAAACCAGTTTAAGATAAACGTGGATGGATGTGTGGGGGCCGAGAGGGATCCGGGAAAGGGTCGACTGGGTTGTGGCCACAAACCCAGCACGTACAGATGGGTACTTTTGACCGCTGGAGTATAATTAGGCACAAACGCGTACTCGTTCAAACAAAGATGGCTTTACTTACACTGTCGAGATGTACAGCGTAGGAAGAAAGTTAACTTCAAACTTCAGTTTCAGTTTAACCGAGGAGCTTTGATAAGACGAGATATCTTTCTAACGGGTCTGAATACGAGCATGCAGGACACGGGGTACGTCGGGATGGTTGGCGACGGGGAGTCGTCAGCGGTTGATCAGTCCGCCACGTTCACTCCGAGATGGGCGCGGAGTTCTCCAACTTGGGCGGAAACTGCTCCAACCTTTTATACGGCTAGCGAGCCAATTGCTAGTCGCCACGTAGGAATAATTTAGAACTGGCCAATAGTAGTGCCGGAATTTGCATATGAGTGGCGGGAACCTTTCCATGCCGGGGTTCTCCACCGTGCCGAGAAATTCCCTCGTACAAAATCTCACCATGCCTTGTGCTAGAAAGTTCCACTGTGCCAAGGCACTCAACCACTAGGCTCTGACAGGATGTAGTATCAGACTTAACTGATTTAGGTTAAATCAGTTTATTGAATTTCTGCCCCAGATCCCTCCAGATTCAAGTTAACTCACAATGCCCCAGCATCCCAAGGTGCTTTGCACCTCCCTGCAAACCCCCACTCACAGGATGAGTAACTAGCTTTGGCCCAAGCTTTCTGCTCCAGCTGAGCAGGGAAGCATTCTCTAGTGTCCCCCGGCTTCTGGCCTGGGCCACTGCGGGTATGTGGCTGCATTTCTGGAATTAAAAGTGAATGCCTGTTTACTTGCTCATTGGTTCAATCTATGCAGTTTAGACTAACCTGTGAAGAGTGAAATTGATTCAGCCTCAGGCTTTTTGACTGTATGTACTTAGCCGGTATCCTGATCATATCTGCAGAAGCTCAGTGGGGTCAGCATACATAAATTCCCATGACTGTGGAACTATAGTATTTTTTTTAGTGTACTACAGTTGATTCACATCTGCTTTCATAATATACTCCTGTCTGCCAACTTCAGTTGTCTTAACGGGTCATCAGTCAACACAGTAACAGCAAAATCCATTCCTTAAATACCTTCTGATTTCTGAACAATGAAAATGTATTTATAATTTCTATAGGATTGGGGACCAGGTTGGTAATGAGCTAAGCTTTTCAGGTTTGATGAAATGGCTTGTTGATATTTTTTTAAGATCAGTACCATCAATGATAAGATTTGCTATGTTTGATAGTCTTTGCTCAGGAGACATCCAAAAATAAAAGAAAAGATCTCAGCAGATAAAAGGTGAGGCTCACATATCAGGAGGCACAAAACAAGGGGAAGGCTGGGCACACTCTACCTACATTCTGACTCAGGCTTTGACTTTTATTGGAATGTATTTAAAAGTCTATAAAAGGAAACAAAAAACATACAAATAATTAGCCTAGTCTTTAAAGGAGAACAATAGAGGGGGTTGAATGAGGCTAGAAAATAAAGTGGATAAGCAGTAAAAACAAAAGTACACACCTAGCTCTACAGTGTACTCAGGAAAATCATTGTGAGGGAGCTAGAGGAACAAAGACAAAGGAGCAATCTGCCCTGACCATTTACAGCAGACAATAGATATTTGAGCTACAGTTGGTTAGTAATTTAGGGTGAGAATATGAAAAGGACTTAGCATTGCCATAATGCTGTTCTTATTGAAGTGAGTGAGGTACTATTAGCTGCACTGGGAGCAGTCACAAGTTGATGAAAATCAAGCTTTGAAAATGCCATGATAAAGCTTCAAGGACCCCTCCTCTCCTTTGGGACCTGGTATTTCTCACACAACAAATTTAGGCTGGTACAATGCCACTGACTTTTGTCAGAGGTACTCCTAATTTATACAGGTGTCAATAGGATCAGGATCAAGTCCAAGAAAACTAACAATTTCATCCTTCAAAATATAATTTGATGTTTGTTTTCATGCTTTTAGATTTAAATAATTGATAATGACCCTTAAAAGCATTGATGGCTTTTGGGCCATGAGAATCCTAAAAACTAGAAAGCATAGCCTTAAGCCAACATTCTTTGATATATATCTCCTATCTTTGAAATACATACAACTGGGAATGAAGATCCTCTCAGAGCAAAGAAAACACCCATAGCTATATAGTAAATTGATTTAAAAGATGTTCTATAAAATGAATAAATTGACTTAGATTGTTATTCAAAATAGGCTCTAAGTGGTGGTATCTTTGTATTGATTTATTATATATCTGTAGAAAAGGTATATTAGTAAGGAGCCTCACCCTTACCATCTATTAAGATGTACTTCTGGTTCATTAATGTTGTTGGTTATATAATTTTCTTTTTCCTTGTCCTTTTATAAAACATTTTATAAGCCCTGTGGTTTATAACACTCCCACTGATTTCAATAGGATTAAAAGGAGGTTTTAAGATACAGTAATATCGGGTTCTTAGTTTTGATGTGAAGATTATTAGTTTCACTCTATCAAAGCTATTATTCTGTTCAAACATGACAAAATACATGTTGCATGATTGAAAACTAGAAGTCCCTACCAAGAACACATGTGTCTCGTGAAGAATATATAGGACAAAGGTCACAGCTGTTCAGCAAGTAACAGAAGACAAATGGCAAAAAAAATAAATAAAATGAAACAATCTCTTATTGTTCACATCTCAATCCCTTTCTCATTTATTTTATATAGTTATATTATATATTGTCTTACATAAGACTACATACATTTAAGTAGGCCTGAAAGTGCAATAAAAATAGATTATAATAGAAGTAAAGTTATTTCTAATAATTATTCATTCCAATCCAAATACACAGGAACCATTCACTGAAATAAGTGTTTGTGACAAAAAGAAAACACCAACAGTTACCATAAAATGTCCCCCATCTTGTTCCCACCACCATTTAAAGCAAAATTCCCTCTGGCTGCAATGGGAACAGAACAATGCATTTAAATTTAAAAAACTAAGAATTTTTAACTGTGCCAATTTCATCCAACAAATAAAACCCTATGAAAAGCCTTGGGAAGGCGAAAAGAGAGATCTTAAAACTATCTTCACAAAGTGGCTGAACAATAACACACCATCCATTTTGGGGGGTGACTCAGAACCTGAAGTCAAAGCAAAATGGTTAGGTGGGCTTTTTGTGCAGATCATGTTACTGGCATTATTACATCATTTGCCCCACAATTTGTAATGGTAACTGAACACGTAGCAAGCAGATATCAGTATTGATTTTGACACACGCAGCTCTGATTCCTCCAGAGAACATATTTTTCCATATGCGAATTCTGTAGCAGCGATGAGCAGAGCCATTCAAATTAGAGTTCTGTTCGGATGAGGAGACTGCTACCAGGCAGCTGGATTTACTGATGATAGACCTTACTCTCTGCATTAGTCCTTTACACTCCGGGTTTGTTAAACTTCTGAATATACTGCAAAGCCCAGTTTTTGCCTCAACCCTGCAATATGAGAGATGATAGAAGAAATTATCTATGGGTATTTATAATATTTTTCTGCTGTACTCAGTATCCTGAGAAATTTGCATCTGGTTTTTTTTTCTGTTCTTTTATGAGTAGCATAAAATCTGTATGTACTTTATACATTAAATTAAAAATTTTAATATTTGAAAGGATAGAATAAAAATTAACATGTTTTCATTAAACTAAATATGGAAAATATCAATATCTCTTGAGTTCTCCTGAATGTTTAATCTGTAAGCTAATGTTACTTAGATTCACGCAGGAGGAAAAAAGATCATCTTTGTTTAAAAATGTCATGGGAATAAGATTTCCATTTTATCATTACATATTTTACTTTAATTTTGTTTGTAGTAAATATTTCTGATACTTATAGAAACACAAATCATTTAAGAATAAATTATTATATTTATCACACTCATCAAAAATTCAATTTGTTATTAAGAGAGAGTAACAACCTCTCCAGCAGTGTATTACATCACAGATTAAATATTTATTTGGAAAAATGTAGAAGTAGTATGCACATACATTTCATTTCAAGAATAATGTATGAAAGTATAATTGAAGTTAATTTTTTACGAGACAGAACTAGGAATGCTTATTAAAACTGACTACTCAGGGGTGGGAAATTTGGTGTGTTGGGTGGAGTGATTGCTATTAATATGATGATCACCTTCCCCCTGCCAAATTCCCAGACTCCAATCCCCGCACTCCTGTTGCTGCCAGACCAAGCCCCATCCCTGCATCTGAATCAGGGCCAGGCCATAACCCCTTTCCCTGCTATGGGGCTGGTTTGGGAGTGGGCCATGTCCCCTTTCCCCATGAATCCAAGCTGCAATCCCGCCTCCACAGTGCCGGGTTGGGGCCAGGCCTTGCCCGCTTTCTCCCACGGGGCTAAGTCATGCCCTCTACCCCACTCCCCACTGTAGGGCCAAGCCATGCCCCTTTCCTCTATGGGGCTAAGCCATTCCCCCTTCCCCTCCAGTCCAGGTTGCAGGTGGGGAGATGGGAACAACAGTGGGAGGGGCAATGGTTAGGGGGTTGAGTTCCCACTCCTTATACCTGCTCCTAGGACACTGGGCTGGCTGAGGGAACCCACCTCCTTGCCCGATGCTGCTGCTGCCACTGTCACTGAGCCCCTCCCCCAGGCAGCCTGGTTGCCACAGGCAGGAATTGCTTTGAACCTTGCCCCATACCTGGAACAGTAGGAAAGCAACAAGAGCAGGCAGGGGAAGGGACATGCCTTTGAGTACGGAGGGGATTTTCACCTGTTTTGGGGACTTGGCGCAGTATGTCCACACTGTTAGGTTGCACAGGAGGATGCTGGCTGGGAGCAGGTGTGCAGCCACCCTGCAGCACAGGTGGTTTCTCCTGTACCTGCCTTTGCCAAATCATGGATCCACCCCTAATTGGGGTACATAAATGTACAATAATAGTGTAATTTAAAATAATGTAGGGCAAATGCATGTAAGAAGTGGAGCACTATGCACCAGAAAGGAGTGACCTTTTAAGGTACCACAGGAAGGAGGCACAGAACCCCAACCTGTGCCTAATTACCTACTTCCCAAGTGATTGGTCTGGGTTTGCCCTTGGACTTCGACTGGGATGCTAAGCATCATTTGAATGTAGCTCAGGGCCAGAGGCTTTGTAGACAGCATAAATACCAGTCTAATGCACGGGATCGGTAGCAAAATAACTTTGTAGGATCTCAGAAAGGTTTAAGGAAGAATCTCTCCGTATCAGCCACTGGGAAAGGTATGGCTGGACATATCTGTGATGAGTTGTAGGACCAAAAGATTAATCCAGAGAGAGAAACCTGGCTATTCATCTTCCCAAGATCAAAAAAGGATGAGTTGCAAAAACTTACTCCTAGGGCCTCTGCTCTCTAGTAGAACCAGGAGTGGGAAAACCAGGTTGAAAGTTCCTAGTCTTAACAAAATATGAATTTTCATTTCTACTTAGGAGAACTTTTCTAATCCTTGCATTCTCCTATGCCTGATGAAGGGTGCTTGTGCCCAAAAGCTTTTGCAAGTATCTAGTTGATCTAATAAAAGATATCACCACTGCCATGAGTTTTGATTCCTTTAGTAATGAATATTTTTAATAGGAAAACTTCAACAGGAGATAGGCTGGCCCCTTGGGATGACACACTTGGGTTGAACCCCCAAGACGTTGGGATGAGCTAAGGCTCTGCAGAGCATAGTAGTAGCAGTTATGCACATGCTGTCTAACAGAAACTTAGGTGTCTTTCAGATGGCAATAATTTTATGAATGCTAGTGGCCAGAAGCAAGGCACATATTCACTATGGACCCCATGGTGTCATGTAGATACACAAGCTGTACCTGAAAAAACTAGCTCAGATACTAGCATTAGCTAAGCTGCATTCCTGTTAAGTTTTGGGGAAAGGATAAAGGTAGAAGGCTAAATTACAAACCAACAAAAGTAATATCACAGAAAAAAAAATTATTTTGAGCTGCTTAATCCTCACAGTAGAACCATTAGCTTGCGTCATTACAGTAAATGTAATTTTTAATTTAAAAATAATTTTCTATAAACTTGTACAAACATAAATGCATGTGATAGATAAAACTATCTCTGAACCTTGTTAATAGGCATCATAATGATGCTCATGCTGATACATCACCTCCAGCCCTCACTGGAGAAGAATACTCCACCTTACAGTCCTCCATGCATTACAGCATCATTTATATGAACCTGAGAAGTACCAGACTGGGTCAGACTAAAAGTCCATTTAGCCCAGTTCTCACCGTGACAGGATTGGATGCTTCAGGGAGAGCATATGAACAGGGTACATCTAGAGCAGGGGTGTCAAACTCATCTGGCCCATGGGCCCAATGAATGGTGTGGGGCTGGCCCCACGGATACCCCACACACTCGCTTGCCAGATCCAGTGCATGTGGAGCCTGCTTCAGCCAGTCCAGGATTGCATTGCATGTGGCACCCATTCTGGCCAGATCAGGATGTAAGCTACATGAGATGCCTGCTCCAGCTGATCCACGAAAATGGGTCCCACATGCAGAGCGAGTCCTGGACTACCTGTAGCAGGTGCCACATGCAGTGTACTCCTGGACTGCACAAAGCAGGTGCTGGACCCAGCATATGGGAGACCCAAAGACCCCCACTACCTGCACGCTGGATCTAGCACCCACTCTCCTTGGTCTGGGACTGCACCCACACGTGGTGCCTGCTCCAGACCGGCTGGAGTGGGTGGCACATGAGGCTCACATCCCGGACCGGCCTGAACGGGCACTGAGGGTGCCGGCACTGGCATATGAGGGAAGTCCCACACTGGCCCTGCGCAGGTGCCTTGTGCATCATGTGTCCTGGGGCCTGCATGCAGTGCAGGTTGGGTGCGCACCATGTGGGTTAACTCGAGACCCAGGTCCAGGGGTTGGAAAATGCAACTCCCATGGGTCGTATTTTTGATACCCCCGTTCCACAGTGACCTGTTCCCTGTCATCCCATCCCTGACATCTACCATCCTTGGGTTACAGGTGCAGAAGCAAAGTGCACACCCCCGACTGCTCAGTGCCATCACTGTTTAACATGTTTCGCTGCACCTGGTCAACCCAGCCAGCCCTCGACCCCTGGCATCGCAGCTACGAACAGGCACAACTAGGCCTTCCTATGCCACTCCCTTTGCTTTCTTTTTTTTAACTAAGCTTCAAAACCAAATGGGCCAAGGCAACCAGAGAGCCGACCGCATTTTTTTCCGAGAAGGAAACACCTCAAGTGAGGCTTCAAGCCAGACGGAGACACCTCGATCTGCTGCGCGAGCCGGGTGGGGAGAAGCCGAGGCCCCCCTGGTTCCCGGGGGGGCGGAGGATCCACGCCGGCCTTCACAGGCAGGGCTGGGGGCCACATTGGCCAGCCGGGCTCTGGACTTCGGAGCGGGATTGTGCGGGCTGCGGGAAGGGATTTTCCACAGACAAGTCCGGGTGCCTGGAAACCCCAGGGCTTCAGCAGAGGGGCTGGGGGCTGCCTTCCCCGTCCCGGCCCGCGGCACCTCGCGGCCCGGGGGCCCAGGAGCGCAGGGGGCTGCCCCGGCCCCACACGCGGTAGGCAGAC